GTACTTGCTGGGGAAGGGTATGGCGGAGCTTTTCAGAATGATATAAATGCTCTAATTTTAATCTGGGTGGTGGCCACATGGCTATATACATATTAAGTGTATGTAGGTGATAGTTCAATAAAGTACTGAGAGAGAGAGAGAGAGAGAAGAGCAAGTCCTGATTCTAGTTCCCAGTTCTACCACTGTGACCCCTGGGCAAATTAACATTTATGATCCTCTTGTCTCATCTATAAAATGGGGGTAATAATAGTACTGTTCTCACAGGGTTTTTTTTTTAAGATCTTATTTATTTGAGAGCGAGAGAGAGCATGAGCATGGTGAAGGGCAGAGGGAGAGGGAGAAGCAGACTCCCCACTGAGCAGGGAGCCCTATGTGGGACTCGATCCCAGGAATCTGGGATCGTGACCTGAACTAAAGCCAGATGCTTAACCAACTGAGCCACCCAGGCACCCTCATAGGGTGGTTTTTAAATTAAATTTATATTTTTATTTTATTGTGGTAAGAATACTTAACATGATAGCTGTTCTTAACAGATTTTTAAGTGTACAACACAATATTGTTAACTATAGGCACAATGTTGTACAGATCTCTAGAACTTACTCATTTTGCATTACTGAAGCTTTAAACCTGTTAATTAGCAACTCCCCAGCCTGACCTTGGCAACCACTGTTCTGTTTTCTGCTTCTATCCATTTGACTATTTTTGATACCTCATATAAGTACAATCATACAGTATTTGTCCTGTGGCTGGCTTATTCACTTAGCATTATATCCTTAAGGTCAACCATGCTGTCATATTTTTAGGGTATCCTTATTTTTAAAGGCTGAATAATATTCCATTGTATGTATATATACATTTTCTTTCCTTTTTTAAAAAGATTTATTTATTTTAGAGAGAAAGAGCACACACGTGGGTGAGTGGGGGGGGGGTTAAGGGGCAGAAGGAGAGGAGAGAGAGAGAGGGTCCCAAGCAGACTCCACACTGAGCACAGAACCCCACATGGGGCTCAATCCCAGGACCCTGAGATCACCACCTGAGCTGAAACCAAGAGCAGATGCTTAACCGACTACACCATGCAGGTGCCCCTACATTTTCTTTATCCATTCATTCTTCAGTAGACATTTAGGTTGTTTCCACATCTTGACTATTGTGAATAGTGGTGCAATGGACATAGAAGTGCTAATATTGATTTGTGATCCTGATTTCAATTCTTTTGGATAAATACCCAGAAGTGGGATTGCTGGGTGGCACAATAGTTCTATTTTCAATTTTTAAAAGTTTTTATTTAAATTCGAGTTAGTTAACATACAGTGTAATATTAGTTTCAGGTGTACAATATAGTGATTCATTAATTCTATACCACACCCAGTGTCATCACAAGAAGTGCATGCCTTAATCCCCATCACCTATTTCACCCATCCCCCCACCCACCTCCCCTCTGGTAACCATCAGTTTGTTCTCTATAGTTAAGT